AACTTGACGAAATTCAGTGGAGATATATGAGTAGCAAGAAACAATCTGTGCAAAAGAGAAGAACAGTTTTGGATTACTTCCTTCTGAAGAGGAGACTGGGATGATACCGTACCGACACCAGGGTAACTAAAAGCAGAATTTGGCTCACTGGTTATTTCTGAGTGTGGACAGTCATCCACACTTCAGTGAGCTATAGAAAGAATGTACCTTTCATACTGCTTGTGTTGATCAAGAAGCTATTTGTGGTAATTTCACTGTTATGCCGCTTCTAATGTTTCTACTGTGTTTTAAACATCATTATCTTCCGAAGTATTTTTCTTCCCCCCACATACTTTCGTTCTTTTTCTATACATTAGCTATTTCATCAGTATCATCCTGTTTTACTGTCATGAAAGATATCCAGTCTAACAGCTCTTCTTTCATTTCATAACGAACGGCACAATTAAGACTTAATTAGATGCATGTGAGTAAGGAAATGGCATGCCAGCCAGGACCTTACATGTGATATCATTGAATTGCTCAAGTGCAGCATCCTGAAAAAATACAAACAAAAAAAATCCCGTAAACTTATTTCAAGCTGGATCTTTTCAGACTGGCATGATTGCCAACTGACAATTAATTGTTTTCTAGTCATGATTCTAAAAAGATAATGTACCTTTTTTTTTTTTTCCTTTCCACAGCAAAAATTCTGACAGGTGCATGGAAATGACATTTCTCTGTGTATTGGATTCACAGAGAGTATTATATGCGAACATTTCAGGTCTAAGCAAAGATCATCTGGCACTATCTATGATTTCTTAAGCTATTACACTGTTATACACTTACAGAAAACAAAAGCCCTCATATGAAGATGTGGGGTTGTTTTCCCTCTTCAGAAGTGTGATGGTGCTAAATAGGGAAGAGGGTTAGCTGATGGATGGCCTGTCTCGGTGTTCTCTGTACATCTGGTTGGAAACAGGAAAATTAATGCTGTCTTTCTGGCTCATCATCTCAGGTCACTTCAGTTCCTTCTGATATCTTAGCCTCAGGGACAGGACAGTGTCCAGGACTCCTCCACCCAGCTTGTTCTGGCTGAGGTGGCCTGATTATCCACCAGAGGCTACAATAGCCAGAGGCTTCAAGACTGGGTGCCTATGGAGAAATGCAGATGAGTCCTGGTCAGCTCTCCATGGAGAGTGGTGGTCAGAAAAGTAACCTCTCATCCCTTGAGGATGTTGGGTGCAGGTTCAGCCTCCCCCCAAGTGAACCAGCTAGCCGTAAGGAGGAGCTGGAGGTACTAGGTGGCATATGACTCTGATTAAAGCTTACTCTGACGTGGAGGAGGTTGATGACTCTCCAAAATGAGAACGTGGTGGTTTGGATTAGGGTGAGCAAATGGTCTGCTCACAAATTGCCATATAATTGACCAAGACAAACACACTGCAGATCCTGGTCGAGTTGGCTAGTCAGGCTCAGCAAATCTACTCAACAGCTCTTTGGAAAACTTTGCTGCTATTAAGCCTTCCTTGTTTCATTTGGTAATCTTGGGGAATAAACCCTGAATTTGCAGAGCGTTCCTAAAAAAGCATTTTGTATGAGGCACTGACACCCATTTTCTGTAAGTCTAAAGTTCCTGAAGTTTTAGTTGGTGACAGCAGTTTCTTGTCCTCACCCAGAGAATGATGTTCCTGAGTGTGTCTTCACATTTCAAGTGTCTGACCTTCCTTGATTCCCAAGTAGCCGATGCAGCGTTATTGCTCCCGAGTGCTCGAGGCTGAAGGACAGGATTTGGCATCTGATTTGCAAAGCCAGTGATAAATTTTGGGGTTCTTCTGAACTAAAGACTGAAATGATTGTAAATCAACTGTGGGTTTTTTTTTTCTGACTCGTTATTTTGCTCATTCTTCGTGGTTTAGTGCAGATGTGACTCTGTCTTCTTGCCGTGAGTGAAAAGGCTTTCATATTCTTGCTATGCACATAGAAAAATAATGCTTCAACGGGACAGTGCTAACAGGCACGGTGGCTTAGGCTGGTCAGAAATAGTGCAGCTAGACAAGTGTTTGTCAATCATTTTTAAACAAAGCTCACATAATCTTTTGAAAAGAAGAATTGGCTCAGATGATTGTAAAGTATTGCAGGGATGATTTTTCACTTGCAACTAACTAAAAACGCATCAACATGCTGATAGTTTATTTAACGTATTTATTTCCTCACAAGTTCATTTTCTTGGATGTGATGGGGATGTGTGCGTGCCCTTAATTAATTACTTACATGCAGCTGTCTTCTGGACCACTTTCTGATGCTCTGTGGAGTTTGGAAAACAGTCATTGAATTGGGTGACCCACTGTTAGGCTTCAATATCAGCCACAACCAGCGCATGAAGGAGCTGACATTGGCCCTGTGAATTAATAGGGACACGCAGGACTGTAATGGAGATGGGGAAGAAAAGCTTTCCATAGGCAGGGGATGGTTGTGCGAGGAAGACATAACAGGCTGATCCTTTGCTCATGTTGAGCTTGGCCATCTTTGCAATGAAATTAGTTGAGATTAAAAAAAGATTTCCATTTCCACAACCCCAGAGGCGTCTGTCTGGGGATAGCCCTCACTCCTCCCTGCTCTTGCTAGCCCATTTCAGATGGTGAGCAGTCTGTCTCCTGGGCAGCAGTTTCGACTGAGGAGGCAGAGCCCTTTCTCCCCTTTCCTCCTGCCCTCCGAGCTGCTGCCTGCCCCCGTCTCCCTTCCCAAGGCCGTCCCACTCCCCAAGCACCCAGCCTCCCAGTCGTCCCTGACTCCTTTCCCTCTTTATTCCTTACATTCAGGTTATCACTTAATTTTCTGGCACTGCCTTGACATTTATGGTCTGTTCCTCCTTTTCCAGCCCTTTGGTTAAAAGGCTTTATCCAAGCTATCATCCTTCAAAGATAACAACAAAACTTGAAAAAAGGGTTCAGTTCTCAGCTCACAGCAGCATAAATCAGGAGAAAGAGCAATGAAGGCACCAGGGAGACAAACAGAGGCGAGAACCAGGTTCACAGCTTCAAAGTGCTCATTTTCCCTGGTTCGTACTGCCATCGCCACAGATCCAGCAAGACGGCATAGGAAATCAATATTCATTTGCTGTGTTCTGTTTCTACACTGCTAAGGTAAGGCTCTTGCTTCTGCTGAATGATGCACACTTCTTCCTGTAGTCAGGGCAGGTATTTAAATACTTGGATGTGTTTCAAGAATAACGGGGACTATATAACCACACGAGCCTTCCGATAGAGTTATTTCTGAGATTTCCTGGCCAAGGCCAAATCCTGCTTGCTTTAGTTGTGAATACAAGCCCTTTGATGAGGTTGAGCAGAAAGGCAATGGCACCAGTTGTATAAGAAAACCAATCAAGATTGTTTGCCAGCTGAATTCTCAGTTAGGGTAAATGCCAATTTCTGCTTGGTAACAAAATTCCCCCATTATCAGAGAAGAGACCCACGCCTTCTTCAGGCCCTGTGTCTGAACCACACCTGAAAAAGTTAGCGACTTTCTAATTTTGCATCGTTATGTCATGTTTATTATTATTATAAAAATGAGAAGTATGTAACAATCAGATGTCTTCCTTACAGGTCTGCAGCAACGCATTTATTAATGCTAGAAATGTTTATATTCTGGTCATGTCTCAGAGATTTAATCTGAAACTCTTAGGTGTTTTTTCTTTTTTTCCTTCTTTTTTCTTATTTTTTTCCTTCTCTTTTTTTTCTTCTTTCTTTTTTCTTTTTTTTTCTTTTTCCTTTTTTCCTTTTTTCTTTTCTTTATTATTTTTTCTTTTTTCTTTTTTTTTCTTCCCCCCTTTTTTTTTCCCCTCTTTTCCCCTCAGACTAGTTTTCCACTCGCACCTGCCCTGTGTTTGTGTGGCACCGAGCACTATGGGAGTTCTGGTTCAGGACTCTGCAGCATCGTGGCAGGAATGGTAAGCACAGGGGTAAGTATTCTCACGTACAAAAGCCATAGCTAGGATGAGCTGATGGCTATTAAGGTAAACCACAAACATTTACCTAGTCACATGATTAACATCAAATCCAAGCTACATGAAGGTCGCTGGTCCCCCATGTACCAGTGCCTGCCTGCCCTGCCTGCCCTGCCTGCCTGCCCGCCTGCCTGCCCTGCCTGCCCGCCTGCCCGCCCACCGCCCCGGGCTGCCCGGGGGGCTGCAGTGCGGGGCCACCCCGTCCCCTGCGGTGGGCAAACGAGGCTCTGTGGCCGCAGCCTGGACCGAGGGTGGCTCAGGGAGCCACTTACAGGCCCCTGTCCCCATCTCAGGGCTGCAGCTGCCAGCTTAGTACAGGCAGCACCGCTGCTGGCAGAGTTTCTGGGTGTTCAGGCTGCACCCCTGCTAGTGAATTAAACAAGGCGGGGGGCATCCTCTCCCCCTGGAGCCACCCGGCCACACACGTCCTGTCCTGCTAAGCAGCTTCAAGCTTCCAAACGCAGTGGCCTTGACAGATGGGGTCCCCGAGCCGGCAGGTGCTGTGCGGGGGGGATTGCCTGGCCTGGGCCAGCACCCCCGTGGGAAGGTCCGGCACCCAAACCAGGGCCCTCACCCTCATCAGTTTACAAGTACAGGCAATCTGGTACATTTTTGCCCACACTCTGTCATTTCTCTGTGTCATACTTGTGACGTGGTTTTCATCTGTTTTCATTCATTGCTTTGAAATCCCTTTCTTCAGAGCTGAGATATTCAGCCCACTCAGAGAAGTCAGGTGCTCTCTGTTGGGTGCTTTTTACCTGCCGGATGGCATCTTTATCATCACCTTTACCAGCGTGTTTTCACCTGGCAGCACGAATCATAGAATCATAGAATGCCTTGGGATGGAAGGGACCTTTAAAGGTCATCTAGTCCAACCCCCAGATCCATCCTGGATACTTCCATGCTGACATTTATGGCACAGCTGGCACGAGATTAAGGCCAGGTGACACCGGCCAAGCTGGGTACGGCTGGGCACACGGGGAGTCGGTTCAAGCAGCTCTGAACTCCTGGCCCTGCCATGACCATCCCGCCACCGTCAGCCAGCACTGCCTTCCGTCACCGGTGCCGCCGGTACGCTGATCGAATCAGCCGCAAGAAACGGATGGGGCCATTCCTGCCTGGCTCTGTTACTCCCGAAGGTGCCATGGCATGGAGTTGCAGGGCCATGCTCTGCCTCTCTTGATGTGGATCTGACCAGGGCACCAGGAAAGCCAGAGCTGGCCACAAGCCCGTGGAGATCACTGGAAAGGGATTTAGTCGGATGGGACAGGCACTGGGTCAAGCTCCTGCCAGACAGAGGAGCTGTTGGAGATCCTGGCACTGCAGCCCCCGGTGAGGGGGTTACCCTGGTGAGGCTGTACTCATCCTCCTGCTCTGGGAAGAGCTTTCCTTTGGGGACTCGGGTTTTATCGAGAAGCGGCCATGGGAAAGTCTGGGGCCGGGTACCCACAAAGGTGTCCAGCTTGAGATAACACCTGGGAAGTGCTCTGACTGCAGAAAGATGTGGTTTGCTCCTCCCTCATCAACTCTTTCTCTGGTTTGGGGATTTTTTTTCCTAATTGTTGCTGTATTTCCAGCGTATTTTACAGTCGCTTCCCGTACGATGGATACTCTGATATCTCCTTTTCGGATGAAAAGAGTTCCCTGGCTGAAAGCTACGGCACGGAAACCGCACTCCCCACGGAGCAGAACGCTTCCCGAGCCGG